GTTAATTAACATTTTCATCCCCTTAAAAACAATTAATGTTTAATTAACACAGTAATTGCACACACCCTGGCAGACAGTTCAGTCATCTGAGAAAAGTATTTCTTGACGACCCTCTGCAGTTCCTGGGCATGAACTTAGGGCCTGGGCACCATCCCTGAGTTTTCATGCTCAAGACTAGTGCTCAACCTCTCGAGCCTCAGCTCCATTTCTGATTTTTTGGTGTTTAATTAGAAATAAGAGTCTCACAAGACTTTCCTGCCCAGGGTCAACCTTGAACCACAATCCTTAGATCTCAGCCTCCTGAGCAGCTTAGAATACAGGCATGAAAGTGATCAGCATTATAGGTTATTGTCCTGATGCATGCTCTTATGACTCACAAATGGTCTCACAGATAGGCCTTTCCTATCTGGTCTTCAAATGTCCCAGCTGTTAGTGAGCAAAGTCTACCCTGAGCATACGTTATGCAGTGGTGGGTCATAGCTCCATAGGTATATTCCTATCACAGGTAAAAAAGTCCCTAGCTGTTTCTCCCCTAACTTAAGAATTTTACATCTCATCTTTTCTCAAAAGAGAAAACAGAGGATCACAATGTCAATGAACAGCTTGAATTCAAACCCATTTAAAGCTAGAATTTGAATCTTCATTTCACCCCACACTGACCTGAAACCACACACTGTATGTGTAACAAGAAGTGGCTAATTATGCAATGCCAGTTTAGAATAAAAACTGGTCTGAAGACCATTTATGGCTTTCACACTGTGAACTGAAAAACACTTAGCTGGGCACTGGTAGTGTACCTGCAATCCTAGCTACTCGGGAAGCTGAGATCTGAGAATCAAGGTTCAAAGCCAGCTCACATAGAAAAGTAAGGCTCCAAGTACCCAGCAAAAAAGCTGGAAATGGAGAGATGGCTCAAGTGTAGAACACTAACCTGAAGCTAGAGAGAGCTCCCTGCATGAGTTCAAACCCCAGTACACACACACACACACACACACATACACACACACACACACCTGCTCCTGAATCGTATGTCACATTTTATATGAGAATGTGTATATGTAAATATTTAAGTGTAGGAATATATCCTTTTGTTGTGAGGGTATACTCCAGAAAAGTTAGAAAGCTACTGATCTGAGGATTAGGTCCTTCCTGGTCAGAAGTATGAATCTGAAGTTTAATTCCTCAGATTTGAAAAGCAATGCTGGAAATGAACAGGCTGATCCGACTTTGATAAAATCCAAGTTGAACAGGCATCACTGGAGCAAAGGTCTGGAGACTTCTGAGGGTGAGAGGTCATCTCCAGCAGCATGAACAGAAGCCCAGACTCCCCGCCCATGGCCTTGGCGAGGAAACAGGTGCACCAGCAAGGTCCATGCATGTGTGTGACCACATCTAGGGTCTGTCTGTGTGCCCACAGCTGCATTCCCAGTCCGTCCCCTTCAGCACTTCATAGGAGAGCCAACACTGAAAGAGAATCTTCCTTCCTGGTAGTCTTTGGAGTCCCCGACCCTTGTTGCCACATGCCATAACTCATACCTCCCTCCAAGTAACAACATAAACTTGAAAACCCTGATGTCAACCATGTTAATTACATATCCTCCAGCTCTTTTCCTCAGTTGCAGCTCCAGAAATGTTGCTATCAGTTATCTACTGTGCATGTCCCAATTTTTAACATATATAGCTGCTGAGGAATTTTTAACTTTTTAAATTTCACATTCAATAACTAAATTTCACATTCAACTCATGTCCTTCTCCAGTTTACACATGTATTTTTCAGGAGAGGGGCAGTGCTGAGGATAAAACTCAGGACAGGGGCTGGGAAGGTGGCTCAGTGGTAGAGCGCTTGCCTTGCATGCATGAGGCCCTGGGTTCGATTCCTCAGCACCATATAAGCAAAAAGAAAAAAAGCCGTAAGTAGTGCTGTGGCTCAAGTGGTAGAGCGCTAGCCTTGAGCTGAAGAGCTGAGGGACCGTGCCCAGGCCCAGAGTTCAGGCCCCATGACCGGACCTCCCCCCCCAAAAAAAAAAAAAACCTCAGGACATTATACTTGCTAGGCAAGTGGTCTACAATGTAAGCCATGATGCCTGCCCCCAGTCCTTTTTTGGTTTCTGTACTTGTACTCTTGTACTCTTCTTCTTCTATCTTTACCTGAGTAGCTGGAGTGTGCCACCATGCTCAGCCTTCAACTTGTTGTCTTTTGAGATGCATCTATATTTACACATGTTCCTTTATGTGCTATACATTTCAGTATTCCATCATATGACTATACCACAGTGTCCAACATGCAGTCACTGCAAGTAGTTCTGCTAGGAACATTACTGGACCTGTCTCCATTAATTCATATGGCAGTTGTTCAGGGCATATACAGTTAGAAATGGAATTGTGGAATACATACCATTTGTCCCATAATTTTTCCTTCCCAACATTTTTATTAAGTAAATCCAACCTTACTTTGAAAACTGCTAGTCATAGCATTTACTGTGTGCACCAGGGCTGTGCATAGGTCTACACATGTGCACAGCCTTGTACATGTACATACTCATCTCAAGTGGGGTCTTGATGCCTTTGGCTTTGGTATCTATAAGTGACTCCTGGCTCATCCCAAGTCATCAGCTGTATGATCTCAGGAAAATTATTTGGCGATCCAAGCTTCCAATTCCTCATCTTAAAAAAAAAAAAAAAGTAGCCAGGTGCCAGTGGCCCATGCCTGTAATCCTAGCTACTAAGGAGGCTGAGATCTGAGGATCATAGTTCAAAGCCAGCCCAAGCAGGAAAATCCATGAGACTCTCATCTCCAAGAAACCACCAGAAAATCGGAAATGGTGCTGTGGCTCAAATGGTAGAGTGCTCACCTTAAGCTAAAGAGCTGAGGGACAGTGCCCAGGCCCGGAGTTCAAGCCCCATGACCAACAACAACAAAAAAGCTCACACCTATAATCCTAGTACTCAGGGGGCCAAGATTTGAGGATCAAGGTTCAAAACCACCCCTGAAAGGAAGGTCCATGAGACTCCAATTAACCAGCAAAGTCAGAAGTAGAGCTGATGGAGCCATGGCTCAAGTGATAGAACATCAGCCTTGAGTGAAAAAAAAGCTCTGGGACAGCACCCTGACCCTGAGTTCAAGGCCCAGGACCTGCACAAACACAAATAAAATACAAAGGATTAAAATACATACCAACTTTATAACATTTTATGAAAAGTAAATGAATGAATACATATAGGTGCTTAGAATACTTCTTTCACTAGAATGCCTATTTCGACAATGACTAAACTTCGAGAGCTAATGAATGTATCCGAATATCAAAGAAAACATAGAAATCGGTATGGTTTCAAATCAGGGAAAGGTAGGTACAGTAAATGTGCCAATCTAGAGGTCATAGGAGGGAGAATTTCCAGAGCCCCCGCCCTCCCCCTACATGCCTCAAGAGGCTTTTTATATGGCTGAGGCACACAAGAGAATGATCTTGAATAAGGTCAATCTCAGTGATGGAACCAGGCTGTTCTCCAAGACCTCAGCAAACATGCTTATTTTAGGAACTGTATAAAGTCTTGTTAGACAAACCAGGTTCTTAGAGACTCCAGTGAGCCTCAGCAACACAAGTGTGATAGAAATAGGCACAAGTTATATTAAAAGCCCTAACTTCCTTTCTGCAGCCCCAATTCCCAGTTCCTCTGCAGACGTTTCACCAACTAAAGCTAGCTTCTTTGAGTCCACTCCTTACTGGGCTTCTTGGACTCTGCGCCTCCTTGTTCTTCCCTTGTCCTGGCAGCTGCTCTGGGGCTCCTTCTCCTGTCCTGTATATGTAGGAGCTGCCTAATGTCAACCACCCCTCATGGGCCTCCCACGTGCTTTTCCACATGACAACTCTGCACAGTTCAGTTTCATCCCCTTCCCCAGGGATGCTGCCATCCAAGCTTGCTGTGCTCCACCTCCTGGCATCCCTTCAAATCTCCTCTCTTCCCTATCCATCACAATACACAGGAGCCATGGCTGTCCTCTCCCAACCCACAGATACACCCGCTTCCAGTCCATAGTTACAACTGCTCACACCTGTCAGAAACTTCCACTACCCTTCTACCCCCCCAATGCCTAATGAAGGAAAATGGCCCAAATGCCAGCCCTTCTAGGATCCAACCTTTCTTTGTCCAGCTTTCCAACACCAATCTTTATCCATAAGATAAAATCACTCCCTGAGTGACACAGCATGAAACAGAGGGTCTGTATCCAAACAGGATTAAACAAACCAGTTGTTACTGCAAGACTTCAGAGCCTTCAATACCTAAGTGTACACTGTGGCTCTTCACATGTTTTCCATATTATTTTTATTTGATGTCTTTTTTTTTTTTAATCTTACTACGTAGCTCAGTCTGACCTCAAACTCACCATACTTTCACCTCACTCTTCAAGTGCTAAGATTATGGTCAAGGCCATGTATCTGGCTCTTCTGTATGTTTATTTAGACTTCTAGGCCTTTCTCAAGGAGGAACAATCAAGGACAATCTGAACTACCCTGTTTTTCCAGCATGCCTACAGAATACATCCCTAAAGATACTGAGGTGTGGGTAGACCAGAGAGTGACCACCCTTGTCCATAGTTGTGAGCATTAAAGCCTGGTCTATCACCACTATCAATTTCTGTGGAATTACAAAATTTCAAACTGAGCCAAGAAGCTTTTGTCAACACAGGGGTAGAAAGCAAGTTGCTGTTAGCAGTATCTTGGGAGGGTTGACAAAGAGGAGCTCTGACCTTGAGTACTAAGGCTGTCTTGCTGTTGACTGCCAAGGATGCCAGCTTTCCTTATCTTCCTAATCACCCACAACCCCCAGCCTTCAATTCCCTGTGTGGCCTAAATCAGCCTGTGTTGGCTTCCATAGCTTGATGCCAAGGAAACTTTCATTGACATATAGCTCCTTGGGTCCCTGAACCAAAACCACCAATCAAGTGCCCATCATGGGGCCCTCAGAGCCCCTCCACAATCCCCCCTTCCCAAGTACAGTACCTGTGCCATCTGGAGTAGACCTCACAAAGGTGGGCAGCATTTTCACAGAAGCAGTAGGGTGGGTGGTGGCTCCAAGCCCTTTCTCCATCTCCTTGCGGAACCGCTTAGAAATCTCCAGAAGAGTCTCGTCAGATAGACGCATGTGATAGAGATACTGGTCAACCTGAAAGAGCAAGAAAACAAGAATAGACCTATGAGTTAATAAATTAGAATACAGTCTATGACATGAAAATGTCATCTAGCCCTTCAAAAGAATAAAATCTATCAAGGACAGTGGTAATTATCAGGGCTGATAATTCTGGAGAATGGTGAACCAGGGGAAAGGGCAGTTGGGAAGAGAAGTGTTCTCAGACAGGTTGAGGCATGAAGGATTGGCAGCAAAGTGAGGCCCATAGGCAGGTCTGGCAGGGCAAATGTCTCTGGACATCACCTTACATACAGGCCTAGATTCTCACTGATGCCCCCTACATGCTTCTCCATAGATATTCTTTGTGTATCTGCAATGGCAATGGGCAAATTCATGGGTGGAAGAGCAGTCTGTTCTGCCTTGTTAAGCCATCTTATTGCCACTTCCTAAAGGGCAAATTCTAAAGCAGTCATTGTCCATAGATCCCTGATGTTTAAACTGCTACAAAGCTTACTGGAAACTGAGTCCAATAGGTCTCATTTTCAGCTCTGAAGAATCAAATTAAAGTGTCACCATTTACTCAAGTCATGCTGACTTTTACCCAATAGATTATAATCATCTTTCAAGTGTTCAATGATATATGAAAACAATAATATGACAATTATGACTGGTAATGGTAGGTAAACAAACTTTCCTGTATGGGTACTGGATGGAGTTTTGGGGGATTTTGTTTTTTTGTTTTTTTACAATACTGGGTTTTTTGTACTTACTTCCAAGTATTCACTAAGCAAGCACTCTCAGGCCTTTACCCCAGACTCTTGCTTTTTCTACCTCCACCTCCTACCTAGCTGGTATTACAGGTGTCCATTACCATGCTCAGCTTGTTTTGGATACAGTATCTCCCAAACTTTTGCCCAGGCTGGCCTTGAACTATGATCCTCTCATCTCCTATCAAACATTTCTTATCTGCTAAGTGCCTGTCTAAGGCTCTGATTTGATTTCTACTGTCTTTTTTTCTTATTTTCTGCAGGGCTTGGGGGGGGCGGGGGGCGGGGAGAGAGGTGGCATGGCGGGGTGGCGGTCCTAAGGCTTCAACTCAGAGCACAGGTGCTATCCCTGAGCTTTTTTGCTCTATCACTTGAGCCACAGTGCTAATTCCGGCTTACTGGTGGTTAACGGGAGATGAGTTTCTTAGATTTTCCTGCCCAGGCTGGCTTAAAATTGCTATCCACAAATCTCAGTCTCCTGAGTAGCTAAGATTACCAGTGCCTGATTTAATTTTATTTTTTATTTTTTGTAGAATGTCTGCATTCTTGTTTTATAGATCCCTTGGGTGATGAAATTCAGAGGTCTATGTAGCCCACAGGATCACTATCCTTGTGGGCCTCTCGGCCTTCCTCATGAGTTCGGCACTCCCTATCAGTCCTATGATTTCTGGTTGAAACCAGCATTGGGTTTCTCTGAATCATACAAAAAGAAAGACCAAGAGGAAGCATGTGGACAGATGTAAAAAATACAGGTCCCAGCATCTTGAACCAAACCACTCCTTCACCTGGAAGCCCTTTGAATTCTCAAACTCAGGAGTAGCTGGCATCTGGGAAGGATGATATCTACCAGTTTATTAAGGTCACCTCATGCCACAGCCTACTAAACATCCTACTGTAGGCCAAACAGCCTTGGCAGTCACTGCTGTACTGAATGAACAGTGACAAAGAGAATTGGAAGTCGGGGACAAAATGCAACCTCATGTGAAGAAAGTTTTCCTGAATCAGGAGGGAAATGAAGGAAGTTTCCAGAATCTCACCAAATAAATGGGAGAAAGTCACAGAGGAGGTGCCACAATTACACAAAGCAGTAGGATCACAGACAAAACATAGCCACTCCTGTTAAGGGAAGGCCTGCAAGGAAACCAGTTCAAAATCCAGTGAGGAGAGCATCTGAGTCTCATTCACCCCTCAAAGAGTCGTCTGGCCTAGGTTTGAATGCTTCCAAGCATGAGAGGTTTCCCTACTTCTCTAAGTTCCATTGTGGATCAGAGTTACAAAGCTGTTTCTCAATCAGTGATAAACCTGTTTTCTGATCACTTCTGCCAGATCTCCATTCTGACACCTGTGTTGGAGTTCCCAGACTTGGCAGAACATCAGAATTACATGAGGAATAAAATACATACATACATAAACAAAAGCAGGCAAGGTGTGCATACTTGTAACCCGGCTGAGACAGGATGATGATCGTGAGTTAGAAGGCCAGCCTGAGCTACATACCTGAGTCTGTTTCAAAACAAAAGTGAAAGAAAAATGGCCAAGTGAAGTGACACACTTGCATTCCCAGCTATATGGGAAGCAGATACAATTACAGTCCAAGGTGGAATCATTTGAGCCCCTATCAGAAAAACGAAAGCAAAAAGGACTGGGAACTTGGCTCGAGGGATAGAGTATCTTCCTAGCAAACTTGAGACCCTGAATTTAAACTCCAATAACTTCTTCCCCCATGGACTGGGAAGGTGGCTCAGTGGTAGAGCACTTGCCCTGAATACATGAGGCCCTGGGTTCGATTCCTCAGCACCACATGAGCAAAAAGAAAAAAGCCAGAAGTGGTACTGTGACTCAAGTGGTAGAGCGCTAGCCTTGAGCTGAAGAGCTGAGGGACAGTGCCCAGGCCCAGAATTCAGGCCCCACGACCAGACCAAAAAAAAAAACCCTTCTTCCCCCACCTGAAAAAAGAAAAAAGAAAGCATTAAGACCATCCAAAGGGAAGGGATAGTAGGGGAAAAAAAAAGGAGGAGGTAACAATGCTCGATAGGAAATGGACTCATTACCTTACTCGTGTAACTGTAATCCCTCTGTACAGTATCTCTACAATAAAGAAAGAAAGAAAGAAAGAAAGAAAGAAAGAAAGAAAGAAAGAAAGAAAGAAAGAAAGAAAGAAAGAAAGAAAGAAAGAAAGAAAAAACGAAAGAAGATCCAACTGAGCACTGATGCTTCATGGCTGTAATGCCAGTTACTCTGGAGGCTGGTTCTGAGGATCATGGTTTGAAGCAGACCTGGGTAGAAAGTCCATGAGACTTCAAGTTCCTGCCTTGAGTGAAAAAGCCAAGCAGGTGTGGAAGGCCCTGAGTTCAAGATCTAGTACCAGCAAAAGAAAGAAAAAAAAAGAATTTCAAACATCTGTTCCAGACTGATGAAATAGATACCTGTAACAGCTCAAACATCCTTGGATGTTTACATCCTTCCTGGTTCTGGGCAGGTTTGACCTCTGTCAATATGATTGTGAGTGGAATGTTCTAGTCAACACTACTTAAGGTTATTTCTACCACTTTTCTATTTGGGGTCCCTGAAAGTCAGTAGTTATGACTTAAGCCAAGAATGTCTCTGTAAAATAATCCTGTGTTGATCCAGGGTCCTGTCGGTTGGAAGGTCAAACCATCAAAGCAGAACAACCATTCAGGCAAGCCTCACTTTGTAGCTGGTAGTAGTGATCTAAGTAGTGATCTGGTAGTAGTGATCTTTGGCACTAGAAAAACCAGTGTGCATATCCTAGCTGAGAGGTACTTGAGCAGGTGTGCAACACTGAAAAGTCAGTTTTTCTGAGCCCAGCTTTCTTACTATAAAATAGAGGAAAAGCCAGACATCATGGCTTGCGCAGTCCTAGCTACTCAGGATGCTGAGATCTGAGGGTGGGGCTCAAAGCCAGCCTTGGGAAACAATTCTGAAAGACTCTTATCTTCAATTAACTACAAAAAAGCTGGAAGTGGAGGTATGGCTCACATGGTAGAATGCCAGCCTTGAGTGGACAAAGCTTAGGGATATGGAGAGTTCAAACCCCAGTACCAAAGTGTGCATGCATGTATGTGCACACAAACGTGTGCACGCGCGCGCGCACACACACACACACACACACACACGAAGTAGTAAGCAAAATACTCTATATCACCTCCTTCCTCTCCACCCTTTCTCATCTTCCAGATTTCTCTCTGCCAAACCAAGGACATTTCTCAACTCTATTTGATCACACACCCAGGATTAACAAGGCAAAGACCATTTCCCCAAATAGTTCCTTCTCTTTCAGCGGTCTGTGGCCTATCCCCAGGACTGCTCCATTGTAAGTCCCTGTTTGGACAAGAGGTGGAAAGAAGAGGGGCTTCCCGACCAGGGAGCCACAGGCAAGCCAGAGCAAAGCCTGGCTGGGCCTTTCCCAGATAAAGGTGTGTATTACAAAGGAGGAGACAGCAGATTCTATAGGTAACTACTCAGCAATGCTAAGATTAGAATGCCCTCATTAGGCAATCACTTTCATTTTTACCATAATGCCATCTGTTATGTCTTTTCCTCTTCAGAATTTGGGGGTAGGAAGTGTCAGAGAAATGAACCCTATACTGTTTATGAAATAAGATAATGCCCCTAAACAAGAACTACATCAGTTCCTTTCAGTGCCTAAATTTCCCTCCAGACCAAACCCTAAAGTGTATTTTAGAAATAATGTTGAAGAGTGGAGAAGACATTCTCTTTCTTTTGAGAGGCCCCACATCAGAATATGAAGTGCACAGGCTCAAGTCAGGGCCCTGCCATTGCCAGATGTGGAGACCCAAAAAGGAAGAGCCTAGAAAGGGATTAAAGCCAGAAAGGGATTCTCAGAGAAACTTAGTCACATCAGAGCAGCCTTGGGGACGGGTGGGGGAGTACAGACAACTGGTACTAAAATCTGGATCACCCAGACCATCAACAACCCTGCTGGCCCATGGAGATTTCAAGTAAATAGTTGATGGCAATGCCTGGATCCTGAAGCTATTCTATCTGGTCTCAGTAAGAATTTGGCCGCAACACAATTGCATATTGCTAGAAGAGCACCTTAATTCCAATTAACTTCAACAACAAAGACTCGCCTAAATATCATAAGAAATATAAAAACAGAGAAAGAAACCTTAAATTCCCAAATCTGTAAGATTCATTACCATTCAATCCCTGAATCCCTGACATGGCTACATCTCCCAGTTTATAGAATTTATCAAATACCAATTACATACAAACATTATAGTG